GGAGAAAGACCACGAGGCCGCGAAGCAGGGCGGGCGCCCGGATCTGCCGCACTATGCCGGTCAGCATGGCCGTAGCCGTGAGGATGGTGAGCTCGGACCTGCCAGGGACAGCGTACGCGATGGATGCTGCGAAGGGGGATGCTCTGAAGCAGCCCTTCCCTGCTCTGCATAGGGGTGAGAACGCTCCCTTAGCTGCGCAGGGGGAAACAGAGGTGCAGACGAGGGCGAAGCAAGCTAGTCGGGAGGAGAACCCAGGAGCCGTGGCACCAAATGGTATCTGCTGCACCATGGCCAGAGAAACTCTCTCCCAGCTGCTACTTCATGCCCTGCTCCACTTCTCCAGCTGGCTCAGATACTTCACGCCAGGCTGGTGAGATTCACATCCCTTCCTTGGAATATGCAGCACGGTGCCATGCTGAGAGCCACAGCTCTGGGGCGCCGGCACTGTCAGGATGCAGGGGAGCTGCAAGAGAGGCTGCAGAAGCTGCAAGCAGGCACACACTGCTTTTATCTGCTGACAAATCACAAAGGGTTTCTGCAGCATCTTTGGCTCCCCGCTCTTTGCCCTGGCCCCCGACCATGCCCACAGCCCGCTCTGCAGGATGGTGAGCCCCACGGGACTACCCCCAGCACACTCACATCTGCAGGAGCTGCGGCTGCAGGATCCCCCGGAAAAGCTTTTCACACACGGCCTCGGTGACGGCATCCGCAACGACCTGCGGGCGACCGGAGAGCCTCAGCTCCGGCACATGCAAGCGGGCTCCCCGTGTGCGTGGGAGCCGTCCGGCTCAGTGCTCCTTACTGGGTGTGCGCCCGTCACGAGCTCGTCCAGGTAATCCAGCCAGCTGAAGAACGCCACCAGGCTCTCCTTCCCCGGGAAGGCACCATCACCGCCAGCATCTCCCTGCGACCTGCACGGGGCACGCGGACATGGGCTTTGGCAGGGCTGGAGCTGGGCCCGAGCTCCCCATTGGCACGACGGGCTTGGGCAACCCTTGCCGTACCTCCAGCTGGCTCTCTCCAGGGCGAGGATGTCAGCAGGGTCTGTGCAGGCGGGCATGGCGCCGTACAGGTCACAGAGGTGCTCCGTCACCAGCTGGCACAGGGCGCTGTGCTGCACCAGATAGGCAGCGGCAGCCTCCTGGGCAAGCCCCACGAGGAAGAGCAGGTTTTCCTGGGCTTTCAGCGCAACCCGGCTCTTCTGCGAGAGGAAGAGGAGAGAGGCAGCGTCAGGCAACCGCATGCATCCGCCCTCCCCACGGGGCTGGCCCTCACCCCCTACCTGGCTCTTGGACAGTCCCAGCAAGGAGGTGATGAGGTTGCTCTCCCTCCGCGGCGGGGAAGGCTCAGCCGCAGGGGAGGTCCCCGCTGGGGAAAGGCCGCCGGCTGCAGCTCCCTGCGGATGCTCTCCACCCTCTCCTTCGGGGCCGACAAGCAGCACCTTTGGACTCTTCCCATTCAGGAGACTCTTGCCCTGGTGAAGAGAAGAGGAGCAGTAAAGCATCATATCCACAGCCTTCCTCCCATTCATCCCTAGGGCTGGAGCCCAGGGAACGCAAAGCACATGAAAAGACTCAACTAAACAGGCCAAACCCAGCCCTGAGACCAGCAACATCACAAAGTCTGCAGAGCAATAGGGACAATCCTGTAGACCCGCACTGGCCTAGAGGTGCCCACGGCATGGGAAGCCACCCCGGGAACGCCAGCGGGCCCAGACAGGGACTCCTCACCTCCAGGATGTACGTCAGCAGGGCAGGATCCTGCTTGATCTTTGTGCACAGGACGGCGGCGAACTGCACCTCCTCCTTCTCCGTGCTGGAGCCCAGGGCATCGCTGCCGAGCTGGAGCAACTTCTGCGGGCGAGTGGGGAGCTGGGGCATGGCATGGGCACGGGAGCTGTGCCGTACCGCGCGCCCCGGATGCCTGGCGCCCCTGTCGGGTTTGGCAGGGCGAGGCCAGCGTTTTTTCCTCCCCCAGCACGGGCCCCAGGAGGAGCAGGGGTGGGTGAATCAGCCTCTGCAGGAACATCGCGACCAGCCCCAGCACGCAGCCCCGGCCCAGGGTGCTCTGAGCTGCGGCGTGCCGAGCGCGGCCGTAACCGTGCACCCTCCCCACCCGTTTGTGGGTGCTCACCTGGACCGGCCGGTGCACGTTCAGGTAGTGCAGCAGGGGATGCTGCACCTGCCCCAGGACCCTGCTGAAGAAGAGGAGCACTTGCTGCCTCATCCCGGGGGGATACTGAAAGGAAGGAGAGCAGAGACGTCAGCGAGCCCCACTGACCTGTTTACACACCCGATACCCTTGCAATTGTCCTCAATCTGCCAGGCAACCTGGAGCCTTGCTGAGGGCAAGGACTTGCCAGAAGATGTCTGAACTGAGCTCCCCAGCCCTCCTGCAGAGAAACGGCAGGGGGATTATCTTCTCCTTTCCAAACGCTGTGCTATTCCTGGAGCGCTATCACCAGGGAATTAAAACCCAGCACCCCAAACAAGCAAACCCTCACAGCAACAAGAGGGCCAGCGTGTGCTTCCAAAACACAAAATGAAGAGGAATATTTCTACCGTTACCATTTTCCTATGTTTGAATAAAAGGTTATTTATAGGGTGCCACAGTATTATTAGTAACAGAGCCTGCGAGAGCTGGCTATTTTTAGGTTGTACTTACTTTGAGAGGTGTCTTTTTAAAAACACACTGTCCTGCAAATCACAGGACTGATGTGCCAGTGGTGTAAACTCCCACTGCAATCTGCACAGCTGAGAAATACCCTTCACATAAACACCCATTTAAGAGATGCAGGAGACATCCAAAAGCCTGTGCACCGAGCAGGAGGAATAATCCCAGCAGAGGCAGGACGGAGCACGTACACCAAGCAATCCAGCCCCCTCAAGGACACAGGTGGGCACCGTCACTCCAAAAATCTCACAAAAATACCGTGCCAGACTCTACAAACTCCTATCACCCAAATATAAGACCTTCAAAACTAAAAGTGCTGAGCATTACCACATGCCATGGGAAAGGGATGCCGCAAAAGGCCCTCGGCGCTTGCAGCACGGAGGGTTTTGGGGGGCTAACCCGCAAGGACAGCTTTCCCCAGGGGACGCGCATGTACCTCTGCTTTGCCCAGCGTGCTGAGGGTCTCCAGGATCTTGTGCTGCAGCAGGTACTCCAAGCATGGCCCGGCCTCCCCCGCCGGCCGCTGCTTTTCTTCGTACACCAAGATGTCCAGCATCTGTTTGAGGCGCCAGGGGATGTCGGTCTCCTTGGCTGGGGTGCTCTCATCTGGCAAACACAGCGCGGGCATTTGCGAGAGCTGCGGGGGTCTCCTCCGAACCCTGGCGCGCATCCCCACGCACGGGGGTGCAGACGGGCTCGGGAAGGAAGAGCAAACCCGGCGTGCATTGGGGTTAGAAAGTGCCTGAGTGCTGCGGCATGTCCTCGTGCCCACTGCTCCCCACCTGCCCCGTCCTCTGGGTGCCGATCGCTGGGCGCCGTTTCTGGCATGCAACACCCAAAATGTTTTGGGCCGGGAGTTCCCGATAAACAAAGGCCGTTAATGCTGGTGACGCTAGATGGCAACATTACAGTGGAGTCTCAGCAGGGCAAGGGGTTGTTTCCTCTGCTCTGGGCCTACTTAGCTGCCCTACGACCCGGGCTGGGGCTGAGCCCCTGCGGGGGCTGCAGGGGTTTCCCGGCAGGCTGCGACATGCAATGCTGGCTCGGGAAAGCCTCCAGCACGGCCCAGGGGTCAAATTCCTCCTGGGGAAAGGATGTGAAGCAGTCAAGGCTCTGTTTTTAGTGCGCCACCGGGACGGCAGTGTGCACCTGGAGAGAGACCTACCCCAGCCTGGAGAACGCTGCAGCCTCTCCGGAGCGTCTGCACCAACTCAAACCCCCGGGTCTCCCTGGGGACCACAATCAGGGTGCAGGGGACTGGGGCCAGGCAGGGCTACGTCCCCCCCAGGGCTGTCCCATACTGAGGCCCTGTACACCCAGCACACCCACCTCAGGGAGCAAGGCAAAGGCTTTGCTGCAGCAAGGTGAGCCCGCAAAATCAGCGCTGGTGGGCCCTGTGCCCTGCTGCGGTGCGGGAACCCCGTTCCCGGGCCACGGGACCCCGTCCCCGGGCCACCGGCACCTACCTTAGAGCCCGGGATCCTTCTCCTAGGGCACACGACCCTGTTCCCCGGCCACGGGCCCTTGTTGTAAGGCCCAGGGCCCCCTCTCGGGGCCGGTGCCCCACTCACCCGTGGCCTCCAGGTAGTAGCCAGTGATGCCCTTCCAGTGCTCGGTGAAGGCCTC